CAGTATTACTGGCTAACGACGGAAAACGAAGAGTTTTGTCCTTTTCCTGTACTGGACAGTTCTTGTTGGTTGTAGTCGCTGCAGAGTCAGTCCAGTTTTGCTGAAAACTGTGCTCCTCGCTCATCTTAGGTATGCGCTAGGTGCTTGTCCAGCAAGACTGACTGGTTTTCCAGCTGTCCTAGCAATCGATTACGACCGACTGCGTCGTACACGCGACCGAAATGCTGACATCGGCGCTCCAAAGCTGAATGGACCGCTGTACTTCAATGACGTGGACCCGCATCCTACCGACACAGAATTCAGTGAAATCGACAAAGAACGAAATTGACGATGTTGTTCTATGTCGATTTTTCTGAATTCTGTCTCGGTCCGGCGACAACTGACCCTTGCGTTTCGTAGGGGAAGGATCAGACAAAAGGGTTGCTAGTGGTAGCGCAGCTGGAAAACCAGTCAGTCTTGCTTAACGAGCACCTAACGCATACCAATGCTGAAAGAGGACCACAATGTTTCCAGAGAAGCTTGATTGGCTCTCCGGCAGCTACAACCAACAAAAACTGACCAGTAAGGGAGTAGGACAAACTGCAAACAGAATGGTATTTTGTCTCATACGATTACCGTGGACGGTTCCTTCAACAACGAACTTTGTATCTTTATGATTATGTTGGAAGATATACAAGGGGAGGGACCAATAGAAAGACACTATTTTTCGGCATCAAAGCGAAATACGTTACACTTTATTAAATTCTGATTGGACATTTCCACCATCAAATTCAACAACACATTGTACACTCACGAAACTCCGCCACAGCCTTCTGGACGAACGCCATCGAGAGATTCTGCCACGCTCCGTGCTGAGTTCAGCGAGGTCGTTGACTTCTGCCACTGGTGACCACCCTGCTGATCTCTGCCCTGACCCGATAATCGAGGGGGTTTAGGTCAGGTGACACACTTGGATATTCCGTCTTCTTCAGGTACTCAACGCCCTTCGATTCCAAGTAGGCGAGAGTTTTTCGATTCCATGTGCTGGCACCCAATCCTGTAGCAGTACGAAGTTTCCAAGATGGTACAGGCGACGACATGAAGGCAGGATATTCTCCTCGAGCTGTTTGATGTAACAGTCAGCGTTCACTTTCAGTCCGGGGTCCACGAAGACAAATATCGGTCTTCCCATTCCAGGAATTTCCGTCCCTCAGCATCAACCCGCGCCTTGGCGACTGCAGAGAAGATGATATACCAGCGACGTTGTCGGAGCTGCTCGATCTGGAGTTCTTCCAGATCAAGAGTGCCAGGACCCAGGTAGCTGTCCATGGGTGACTCGACAGTAGAAAAACCGCAGCTGTTTGGAAGTGACGTGAATTCCATTGGCCTTCTTCAGTTTGGCTGCGATTACAGATGGCTTCATATTCTGGTGTACATGAATGTGATGGATGGGAGCCTACTTCTGCTCATCGAAGAACATCTTGGGTATCTTCCGCCCTGGTACTCGTGCCCACGTCTTCTCTCTCGGCTCCGTATTCTTTACTCGGGCAGTTCCCCCCCCGTACTCATTATCCCTGCCGCTGAGAAGTTTTTGGAGCGGTGTAGATTGGAGTGTAGCCTTTTTCATCAGCTGATGCCATCTGATCTCGCAACATTGCCCTCTTAGTTGTGCTCCAATCGCACACCCTCTTGCTTGCAGGAATAATGAGTGTATGTTCACTAGGGCTGCGTTCATACCTGAAGACGTCGACGAAACTGACGTAACCGACGTAATGGGCCACAAAATACTAGATACGTATCGATCCGACGTAATTGGCGACAGAAGACTAGATGCATATCCATTGACGTCAGGAACGTGGGTTTCGTCGATTGCGTCACTTACGTCGAAACATCGGTTAAGTCGACGTCGGCGACGACGTGGTAAAGTATGAACGTAGCATAAGGTTTCGCAAAAGTTGACTTGAAGTGATCAATAATCCGATACGAAAGATAAACAGAAGTTATTGTGATAATTAAATTAACGGTCTCATGATACTGTTACGGCCAATTCACAGCAAGGAGGTTCTGAAAGCATTGGCGCCATGGTAGTCGAAACCTGTGGTCGACATGTGGAGTTAAAAACTATAACCCAGTGGAAGTGCTCATTTTTAGATTATAACCCTGCTCTGTCTTCACTTACAATGCTGTATCCAATTTAGTACTGGATGATGTCGAAAGATGGAGAAATCCGCCGCGATGAGACGTGTATCGACTATGCTGGTGAAAATGTGATGGTGTTCCCTTGTCACGGTATGAAAGGAAATCAAGAATGGCGGTACAATCACCAGGTTTGTTTGTGTTTTCTGCTTCCATTATAGTCTTGGAAGTGCCGTACACGAACAACGCCTTTCTGGCTTCTCCATTTTTGAAGACAGTGGCCGCGATTGTTGAGGGCGGGCGGTTGCCGCCAACGTCGTTGGCGGAAGGGCTGAGTGGGGGTGTGGCCAAGAACCGCAGAACTTCCACTAATGACACTGGCCACAACCGCCCCCTCCAGCAATTGCGCCCACTGCCTTTGAGTAGCATCGAATGTCTTTTGGAGCAAAACTTTCGCTGTTAGAGGTTATAAACGTTTGCTGGGAGGGAGTGCTTCAGTCTGATGCCATTGGTCGGACGCCATTTGGCAGCATAGTTTAGCGCGTTGAGCAGAGTCGATCAACTCCTTTTCAACAATAGCATTACACAGAAAGCTGCGCCTCGCTGCAGACGCAGCTGCTTCCCATTGTGATTTTAGCGATGAAAAGAGTCTAG